ATTTCAGAGATACCTTCAGGGATGGGGACTCCACCACTCCTCTGGGCAGCCCCTTCCAATGCTTGACAATCCTTCCTGTGAAGAAACTCCTCCTGATAACCCACCTAAATCCTCCTGCTGCAATATCACTCTCTTTCTCTCCCTCACGTCACTCTCAGTATTTTACTTTTTTAAAGATTTGATTAGCAAAGTGGAAAAGCAAAAGAACTTTGAACAATGGTGTAAAATTATGTATTACCTTAAGCCCACTAAGCAAGAAGTTATTTTCATAAGGGCACACAACTAACAGCTATTCTTTATTAGATATTCTGGTGAGGCTGTGGATGCTTCATCTCTGGAAGCGTTCAAGACCATATTGGATGGGGCCCTGTGCAAACTGGTCTAGTACCAGATCTGGAGGTTGGTGGCCCTGCCTGTAGCAGGGAGGTTGGAACTGATGATCCTTGGGGTCCCTTCCAACCCAAGCCATTCTATGATTCTATGATACTCAGAAGAACAGAATCTTTCTTAGTTTAATTCCATTTGCACTTTTCCATTCATTCACTTGAATACTAAAAGGCAGTGTTGCATGAGCAGACAGATGTGTTCTAAAGACTGCTTGTTAAATAAATTATCACAGTTACAGAATAATTGGAGTAAGATATGCAAATTTGGAAATATTTCAAGACTATCAAGACTTGCAACTAGCCCACCTGTTTAAAGTCTTATTGATATGGCACAGTTGTGCTAATTCACATTTAAGCACGTTGGATTCATTTTAATGCCTGGGGAATCATTATTGAGTGTTGTCACTGTACGAAGAGCAACTGTTCTTATTTGACTGAACTGAGCCATGCTGTAACAACTCATCACATCTTTATCTATGAAGAAGTTTTGTCTGCCAGAATAACACATTACATGCTGGCACACCTCTAGAGTACCTGATTTCTTACTGGATTACAGCAGATACAAACCTTGTATCCGCTGTTAAGTAGGACAGTGAAGTTAAAGCTGGCATCTGTATGTATACCTTATATGTCCAGTGCCAATAGGAAAGTCTTTTATTGTTCAGTAAATAGAGGAGTCCTGATATTTGGATTCACCTCCATAGAAAATACTCTTGTTCACCTAATCTGTAAATTTGCTCCATTGCCATATCAATCAAGACACTTCAAAAAAAGGCATGCATCATTTTAAACACTGTGCAAACAGAACATAATGTAAGCAGGAATTCCATTTTGAACCAACCTGCTAAGAACTTGCTCTAGCAGAAAATATGTCAGAAGTGTACAGCCAGCTCACCTGAAGGTTTATTATAAAGTAACTTAACACTTACCCAGTATGTGAGGAGTATACTTTCTGTTCCCACTTGTTACCAGAAAAGGCAATATGTCTTGTATTTATTATGACAACATGATCTCCGCAGTCATCTGTAAAATAATCAGTAGAAAAGATATTTTAAATTGTGTATTATAAATTGTGTATATATGTGGTACTACATATGTATAGCACATTCCATAAAACTCAAACTGAGAAGATCTGAGTTTAAGAGACTCCATACAAAACTACACTTAAATACTAAACTTAATTACTATTTTTCTTAGGAACGTCAGGTTAGAAGGAAGGTGAGTAAGTAAAACATCATCAAGCTGGATAATCAAACCATTGCAACTGCTTACTTATGATCCAGTTGTCTGGCTTACAAGCAAACATATTATTTCATTCAATGTGCTGTGTTGTATGTGAGCCTCTATTTCAAAAACACAGTATAAAAACAGTACCAACTTTTACCAGAGGACTGAACTCTCTCAGTAAGTAACATAGTTCTACTCAGTGATTACAGCTTAGAGCTCATTTGTGAAATGCAAAGCGGCTGCAACAGCCAAGCTAAAAACTAACCAGGATATCAACACCCATCTGAATAACGACTGTAACCTGTCATTTTAAAGCTGATAAAAAAAAATCATGGATTGCTACTTTGTCCTTCAAAATTTTGAACTAATACATTAATAGCTACTTGTCCTTTGACAGTGTTGCTCCCATCACTTCAGGGACACCTGCTCCCAGGAGAAAGCAAAAACATTTACTACCTGCACAAACACAGTTAAACTGCATCCTACTTCTGAGAAATACTCTATTGGTTACACACAACATACACATTGCACTTCTCCAGATGAAATCAGGCTGTTCAGTAATTCCATTCTGTATCACCGAATGTTTATAAGTTTCCACAATTTCTATCTCACAACAGAATGCTCCAGATTGCGCATTTCTCCTCCTATATTTTAATTACGGATTAAACTGTTTGAATGCAGGCATCATGCACTGTTAGCCCACATGACTGACAAGCTACTTGCCAGTGCTTTCTTTATAAGACAAGTTCCAGCTACTGCTTCCAGCTGTTTGAAGCTAACATTGCAAGCTAGAGTAATACCTGGGCCAGATGTGTCTTTTGGGACATTTCCATCAAGCTTGGTCTTTTCCTTTGAGAGTGCACACAACAGCTACCTGAACAACAAACCCTGCCCAAACAACAGAAGTGGCTCATTTACACTGGCCCACAATTCAGTGCAAAGAACGAGACTGACCAACACCTGAAAAAACTGGCTCACTATTTTTAGTTCCATATTGTGAACGTGTTCACAAAGACAAGATGCAAAGGAAAGTGCAGAAGAATTCATGAAATCCATGTTCAAACCCCATGAACATGATTATATCACCTTTCTTAATGCAGATGGTCTATCAGCATTAAAAAATACAGTATTTTGGAGAATAAGTAAAAATTATCCCTAAAACAGAAAAGAAATATACACAAAATCAGATTTCTTTCTTTCCCTCCTCACAGTTTAGTTACAGCTCCAGACATTTTTCAGTAATAATGATTTTATGGAAAGGTGATTACAAATTAAAAACAACTACCAACACCATCACCACCACAAATCACACGCGACCAAAAACCCACCACATAAAATCTCCACAGCATTCTTCTAAACAACAGTTATCTCACAGACACTATTCCTTTTGTTTTTCCCTCTCAAGTACCAAAAAGTGTCGAGCACACCAACCACAAATTCACCCACACTTTCCTCTTTGAGAAAATCAGATGTCACCCATTCACAGCAATCTATCAGTCTCAGGTGTAACATGTTTGGTACTGACTGATGGAATACTTCAGACCAAATAGAGTTAACCCTGAATTGACTTTTCAGGATTTTAAAGCACCACATAGGACTATCCAAGATCTTTCCCACAGGGCAACCAAAACTATTTCCCCTCAGTGCTTGCTTTAGCTTTCTGACAGCCTTACACTCCAGTGACATCTCGTGGATACAACGCATTTTGCAACTGCAGAACTTGGGTATTAAACTTATCTTTGGAAATCTACAAATGCTACCTGTTATTATGAAAACTGGGTCAAGCATAACCTTAGTATGCATGTTTGATGTATATGAGTAAAGCTTAATGCTTTCTTTCTGCTTCAGTAATCTCTTGAAAATTCTGCTAGAGTTCTATAGGAAACATCGTGCCAAGAATCTCAGCACACTGAAAAGGGATCATCTTCCTTTAGATATACATATTATCTATAAAATGCTTCTCATTGTGAGACACCTGCGATGGTATTATAAGATGATCAAGATCACACATGGCACTGAATTTTCTCACCCACGGACAGGCAAAACTTCTTCATCTGATCAAGATTTCTTCCAACAATAATTACCGAATCACAGAATTGTAGGGGTTGGAAGGGACCTCCAGAGATCATCGAGTCCAACCCCCCTGCCAAAGCAGGTTCCCTACAGCAGGTCGCACAGGTAGGCATCCAGGCAGGTCTTGAACATCTCCAGAGAAGGAGACTCCCCCACCTCCCTGGGCAGCCTGTTCCAGTGCTCCGTCACCTCACTGTAAAGAAGTTCTTGCGCATGTTTGTGCGGAACTTCCTATGCTGCAGTTTCCGGCCGTTTCCCCTTGTCCTGTCTCCACTCACCACTGAAAAGAGTCCGGCCTCGCCATTCTGCCCCCCACACCTTAGATATTTATAGACTTGCATCAGGTCTCCTCTCAGCCTTCTTTTCTGAAGGCTGAACAGACCCAGTTCACTCAGCCTTTCCTCATAGGAGAGATGCTCCAGGCCCTTCACCATCTTTGTGGCCCTGTCCTGAGACCCCTGTCTTTTTTGTACTGGGGAGCCCAGAACTGGACGCAGTACTCCAGATGAGGTCTTACCAGGGCAGAGTAGACAGGGAGGATCACCTCCCTCGACCTGCTGGCCACGCTCTTTTTAATGCACCCCAGGATGCCATTGGCCCTCTTGGCCACAAGGGCACACTGCTGGCTCATGGCCAACCTGTCGTCCACCAGGACACCCAGGTCCCTCTCCACAGAGCTCCTCTCCAGCAGGTCAGTTACATCTCCTGCCTCAAGAATCAGACAGGTCCTGTGACCACAAAACAGTCAAGGCCGGTAGGGACGTGGGTGTCCATCTACGCAGGCAGGCACACTCAGAGCAGGGGCCCGGGGCCACATCCAGGCGGCTTCTGAAGATGTCCAAGGAGGAGATCCCACAGCCCCGGGGCAGCCCGTGCCAGAACTCCGCCGCCGCCTGCACTGCACTGCACAGCACTGCACAGCAGCGCTCCTGGTCCCAGCCTACCGCAATACTCACTGAGCGCGTGGTAAATAGGCTTATGCCTGCCTTCCAGCCTTCTTATGGTTATGGCTGCTATTTTTCCCGGTGGTTGCATCTTCGCATCGAGGAGGTACCACGCTCTGGCAAAAGTAGCCCATTGCTGAAGACAAAGAAAAGCGATAGTTAACGCGAGAAAAGAACGCGCTGCCAGAAATCAGTCCCGCCGAGGCCCCAAGGGGACGGGGCCGCGCTCACCTGAGCCGCCTTGGTGTAGCTCGCCATGGCCTGGGGAACGGGAAGCGGAGCGGAGCCCCGCGGCCCTGAACCGGGAAGCGGAAGCGCAGCGCTGTGAGGGGCGGAGCGAGGGCGGCTGCGCGGGCCGTTTGTCCTCGGCGGCCATGGAGCGCTACGTGCTGCTCTTCGGCTGGGGGGCTGCGGCGGGCGGCGCCGAGCACGGAGCCGGCGCTGGAGCAGGTCGGTATTGCTGTGTTGCTGCGGGGCGCGGGTCGTCCTCCTCGCGGCTCTTTGGCTCTTTGCTGCGGGGGCGCGCTGCTGCCTTGTGTTCGGTGTGGTGCCCGCGGGACCTTTTCTTGAGTTGCACATTAGGAGCAATTTCTTCTCAGGAAGAGATGCGCCGGCACAGGCTGCCCCACTTCGCGAAGTCCCTCCACAAACTTTGTCTTTTTAAACCGTTGCAGACCTGCATTTGACAATTTTGAATTTACTTAATATTAAGCCGAACTTAAAGCTGCACTTACAGTGAAGTCTTAACTTTCGAAATTCATCGGATTTAAGAGTAACTTCTTGTTTTGTTTTTCCAGCTGTTGCAAGTGTTTATAAGCTCCTGAAAGAAAAATGTAATTCATCTATAAAAACAAATACAGTGACTTTTCCAGGTAAGTAATTTACAGTCATAGAAGGCAAATGATATTGAGGAATCTGCCTAAGAAAAATTAATGATCTAGGTTAAACAGGCCAAAAACTAAAGAAAATTGAGTTTTTGCAGCGTGCTGAAAACTGTAGACAGGAATGCTTTTGCTGCCTCCATTTCTATGGTGAGCTGATTTGACTAGAGCAGCTCCACTGTTAGCAAATGATTGGATATACTGTACTGAGAAAGAGAAGAGTTGTGAAAGTTTTGACAGATTTAAGTCCACCTTAACAGTAACAAGGAATAGAAAAGGCCTTCTTTCTCGTACCAGTGGGCAGCTTGATATTGTCCTGCTGACAATTCTCATTACTCTTGTGATGTTTTCCAATTTTTTTCAGTGGAAGTAATGTTTGTTGGAGTAATTCACTGTGTGAACTGCAATTACTGTTTTTACGGAGTTTATGATTTGGTTCAAGTATGAAGCAGCTTCTGCAAATGAATGGCAGTACTGCCGAGAATGGTGAAAAGGACAAAAACTTTATTAGTTTTTATTAATTGAAGGAACATTAATACTTAGACTGTTCGTTTTGCTGCAATATGTTTGGACTTTAAATATGATGCCAAAGGAAAATAGAGCTTAAGTGTCTGTGACACAGTGAATGACTTATGTAGGGTCTTTCAATAGAAAGACCTCATTGTAATAGGAAGAGATTGTAGTGGATTGTTTTAAATATCTATTTTCTCTTTTCAGCATGTTCAGTGGCTGGTATTCCAGGCATAAAGAAATGGTACTTTGCGAGTCACATTATATGTGGCTATTATCAGGTAGGTGATTTTTTCAGAATGTTGAGTTCCCCAAATCTACCTGTCTCTAGTGTTAATTGAAACTGTGATGCTCAGAGTTCTCCTTATTAGTTCTGCAGTTCTGACTGGGAGGAAATAAATTCTGACATGCAGAAAAATGAAGACTGTCTCCAAACAACTATTGAGAAGTGTCTGGGAAACATACAGAACTTTGAGGAAGATGACAGTAACAGTAGGGAGTCACTGTCTATGGCTGAGTATGCATATTATTATCTTTACTGTGGTATAGTGACCTTTCATTTAACAGTAATAACCCAAAGGAATCAAGAAAACTCAATAAGTTATTACCAAAGCTGTAGTTAACTATGAACAATCCCCTCCTACAAGTGGAAGTACTTCTACTTTTGCATTGCCTTAATTGCTTTTTTTTTTTTGACGTATGGATGATTTTTGTAGTATAGCAGAGCAGGATCCTAACAGCTGATGGTTACGTGAGAAAGCAGACTGAAATACTATGTCCAGTTTCACTGCAGGTTATTTTGAGTTTACTTCTGCCTCAGTAAAAGGGGAAGTAACTGTAGCTCATTGCCTAGGCTTTGTGCTTATGTAGAATTTTAAGGACATGAATACTACTCAATGTAATATGTAACTTCTTGCAATTTCTTGTTTCTAATTGATTATATTTAGTTTCCAACCATGTTGCTCTTCATTTTCAGTGTTTATGATGAAGCTGCAGAAAGTCTGCATCAGTTGGCTGACAGACTGCCTGCCCCAGGTAAGCTCTCTTAAAAGAGCAGTCTTTGAGTTTGCTAGTTGAATTAACTTGTGTGCAAGTCTTGCAAATGGTTTAAGGAAAAAGGCTATGATTGGTCTTGCAGATCAGCTTAGGAAGTAATTTGCTTTTCCTTATAAAGAAACAGTAGAGATTATAAAGAAGCAGCAGAGATTAAGGTAGTTATTTATATAGCTGTTTTTTCCGTATGAAAGAGCACTGAAATAGAAATAGTAGGCAATACAAAACTTAACTTGCAACTATATGAAGTTCTTTTGTTAAAGAAAAATTGAAGGTGTTGATGTATCAGACTTACAGCTGATGGTATTAAGCTGCCTGGTTGTGAGTGTGACAAGAAGCTGTGAGGAACATAGATGAGAGCTGTTGGGTTCAAATTTTACGAAGTGGAGATGCATACAACCTTCTATGTTAGGATAATCTAGTGTAGCAGTGGCTGAGTTGGAGTAGGAAAGAATGAGAAGTAAGTAGATGTTGAAAGAAAATCAATGTAGTGCAATTGTACTGGAGACAGGGATAGAGAACTCTGATCTGTACAGCATTCAGGGAGACAGGAGAAATCGGAAACTGGTGAGTGGATGGCAAAATATTTAACTTGAGTTTGTGTTAGTCAAAGAGGAGCAGGGAAAGATGAGCTAAATTGTGTGAGAAGTGTTTTAAGTCTTGCTGAAATATGTAATGTTGATCATTAAGGCCATATCAGCTTGGTTGATGATAATCAGTACTTTTCTGTCTTTAAACAATTTACTGAGTAATGGTACTTGGAGTTATGTATGACTATTTCTACAGGAAGAGCAATGCTGGATATCATACTACAAACTGTTGAAGGGGATGCACCCAAGTTGAAAGACTGCTTACCTGTGATTGGTGCCCTGAAACACCTGAGAGAATGGCACTCTGCACAAATCACCATTGCAACAAGTGACTCTAAAGGGTATGCTGTTCGTTTTGGGTCTGCTCCAGCTTCTGACAGCCATCCTACAGCTTGCCATTGCAAGTGGTCTTTGTTGTCTGACAGTCTGACAGCTCTTTGCTGCAATGTTCATGAGCCACTTAATTTACAGAGCCTGAGCTAGGATTTAATCACATTTCATGTTAACATGTAACAGTAAATTCACAAAGATTAATTCTTCCTTATTCTTAAAATAGCTGGCAAAAGATTGCAGACTACCTATCGGCAGACTTTGTCTCTTCAGATGATGTCATGGATGTTATCGATTTAAAAGAGCTCTGGAGGGGAAAGATTCACATATGGGAAAGAAAGGTAAAATAGCTTCAGTTATTGTTTTTTTAAGCATCTATGTGTATCGTTTAAAGCACGTGTAGTACACTGCATTTTATGTTTGAAGCCAAATTTGGCTTTAAAAACATAATTCAAAGATATAATGTTTTTTGATATTTGGTTCAGTGTCTTGGTGGTGGTGGGAACCATTTAGTTTTTTAGCTTGATAAAAAGCTGAACAGAATGAAGGCACTTGGATGTGAATTTGAGAAACTGAGTCACTCTCCTCTGAAATATTTGCCCGGGAACTTCTTGTTCAAAATGAGATTGATTTGGGGCAGATACAAATCATTACCGTATGACTATGAAAGTCATCATTGGAAGATTGGAAGAGCACATCTAATGTTTCTGCAGAGACTGAAGGATTGGTGATGGAAGATATCCATTTACTTTTTCAGGATTAATGTTTTTGGGTTTAGTAGTTGGTCACCTCAACTCATGGGTATGATGGAGAGAAATCACGTAGTAACTGCTTTAAAAGAAAATTCAGTGAGATACATTATTATTGTCTCTTTTTTAGTTTGCATCAGAAGTTAGCTTTCCAGATTTTTGTATGAAGAGCACTTCAGCAAAACCTCTCAGCACCTCACATCTAAATTCTTGCTTTGCTGACCAACGATGTATGAATTCTGATGCTTTGCCAGAGGTAGGTTGTATTCTTGACGTTTCTTTGAGCCAGCAGAATTTGTCAGATTTACCCGCTTGAGAAAATTGGTAGCTAGGGAACTATAGTCAGAATTGAAAACCAAACACAAAAGTAAGGATTGCATAAGATTGAAGAATACTTCTCATTTCATGTCTGCACAGAAAACAGGTCCTTAAGATTTCGTGTTTGCCCTGAAGCGTGTGGTACCAAAATTACTTCAAAGTGGAAGTTGAAACTTAGCTCAATCTCAGTGCTTAATTTATTTTTAAATTCTGTGTTAATTTAACTTTTTGAGGCATGTGATGAGCATTCTAGGAAGTGAGTCTTATTAAACAGTACTAAATACCTTCCTTGTTTTTATATAATTTTATGTAATATGATATTGTGAACTATTTTTTTTATTTCTTCTGCTTTCTTCAGGTGTGCCTGTAAGGCAAATGCCTCCAGCAGAGCACTTGGAAAAACTTTACTGAGTGAGATCATGTTATGCATGGTATTATGAATTCTCTGTTTGATCTCTTTTCAGGTTTTTCATTACTATGGTCCTGCTTTAGAGTTTTTGCAGATGGTTGACCTCTCTGAACTCCCCCCCTTTTTTATATCAGATCTGGAATTTGAGCTGTATCCTTTAAGGTTCCAAGCTGCTAATGATAATGGTTTATAGCAGAAAAAAAACCAATTGGGAGTTAAGTGTGCATATAACATCTGAAGAATAACAAGGACTCATTCCACACCAGTATGCTGAAATAATCACACAGTGTATCTTCACAAGATTTTTTCATATGTTGAAATTTAAAATGCAGTAACAATAACTAACTAACATTTACATTCTTGCACATATATTTTGGCTACTTGTGGATATATGTGAGGAGGAATAGAAAAAAATACTTATTGATTCTCAGGCTGGATGGGGCTCTGGGCCACCTGGTCTGAAGGGAGTTGTCCCTGCCTGTAGCAAGGTGATAGGAGCTAGATGGTCTTAAAGGACCCTTCAACCCAAACCATTCTATGATTCTGTGTGTAAATGTAATAAATATGTGTGGGTTCATTGGCATGCAGTATTTGTTGTTGTGTAAGTGCAGAGTTTAAAAAAAAACCCGAGCCTTCTCATTAATGTATGTAATGTCCTTCTAAGGTTAGAACATTTTTCCATAAATTATGTTTTACTGTTTAGATGCAGAACCTGTGACAAGGTGTGGCAGAGGAATTCTTTGTTGCATATGCTGCAGGGATTTCAAGGTGTATTCGTGTTGATCTGAGTCTGTGATACCAAGACTAGTTCTAAACTACCTAAAGTAGCTTAGGATGTGCGGCTGCCAAGATACAGGCTGCGTAGTTTAGGCCTGCCAAGGTTTTGAATATATGATTATCTGTTGATGGCTGCCTATGTTAAATGTGTCCTTTGTGTATTTCATCATCTAACATTTCTAACTGTACTGCTATGATAAGTTTTCACATATCTTGCAGTACTGGAGTATCATCTATTAGACTTCCGCAGTGCTTACTTGAAATACAACGATAGCGTGATATATAAAATCCAAATGAATGCAGTTCTTTGTGACAAGGAGGTTCCTTAAACTGTTCTGTTCAGGAGCCTGGCAAGAAAGGGTAAAAAACAGATGTCTGCACTGCTTTTAGATCAGATTTCTTCTCTCTCTGGGAAGGTAAGGCTTCCTTTTACGTAAGTTTAGCAGGAAAGTGAAGACACACCATATTTTCTTTTTTGTGAACAATATATAATAGTAATCTCTGAGTAGGCTCCTTCAAAATTTAATTCTAGGAGAGATGTCTCTTTAAAAAGTACTTGTACAGGATTTGGCAATCTGTAAATGCACTGCATGTTTTTCTCTTTACTTTAGCTGAATTTCATTCTTCTAAAATATTTTGTTTCTTTGAATCGTATCACAATTCAATTACTTTTTAGGAAAAGACAATTCTGTATACAGCTCATGAAATGCATCTAGCTTTTCTGAAGTGTAGGGTATCCCATTTTGCAAGTGTGTATTCTGCATTTCTATTTTGATTTTGAATGAAGAGAGTTCTTGAAACATTTACAAGCCTATTTTTTTTCCTGGATATTGTAGTTCGTTCATTTACAGCCACAGCATTAGTTTAAAGATGTTCTTCCTGAATGCTTAAAGCAGTGTAGATTGACTAACAAGTTTTATAATGCGTTAAGATTAAAGCTATGCCAGTCAGAACAACTTGTAATGTGAAAATGCTGATAGAGATATAATAACTAAGTTATATTCTTTATTTACTGTGCAGCTGTTCTGTTACCCAGCAGTGTATTTAATCTTCATCTGCTTTACCAAGGTTTTCAGTAACTTTTTTCTAACCCGCCACTCAGTTCTTCATTATACTCCGTGAAAAAGAAGTTCTTTTTCTAACACTGTACCAGAAATATCTTATTAAATAGTTTCATCTGCTTGTTTGTGAAGGATAATTTGAAGGGAGGAAAAATGCATGCCGTTTTCAAGTTAATGCAGGGTAGTTGATTCCAACTATTTTCTTAGAGTCCTGTTCACTCTAGATCTTTCTTTACAGAATTGTTTATAGCAAGATTACTGAAAGACTTGGGAATGCCTATTTGATGTATGAAATAAGAAATTCAGTAGTTAGTTATCTCAACTGGAGAAAAAACTAGCTCAGTTTTTACTGCTTGTGTGTCAAATGATGTTCAGAGTCAACTGATGTGAAGGAAAGAAACATTAAGTAAATGTGCTTGCCTTTTAATTGAAGCACCTTTGAATTGATGCCAAACTGGTAGATCAAAAATGAAATGTAAAGTAGGTTTCAGTGATATTTCTTCTATTATATTTGCTTTATTATTTAGGTGGGAGCTTTAGTTTCATTAGCATGCAGTGTAAGCAGTGTAGTGATCCCATCTCCTGCCCAGCTGAGTACAAAGAAATGGAAGGAATATATGGCTAGGAAACCTAAGGTCATTACTGGTGAGTAAAACAAAGATGCTACAGGTATATTTTGATATGGGGATGTGTATTCAACATTTGTGCTTTCTTGGGAAGAGAGCATACGGTATTCTACAGATGTTTGTTCTTCCAGTGAACACTTACCATCCTGTCAACCAGCGCAGGCAAAGGTGCCTGATCATTCCATAATTTCATTGTTCCCTGATCATTGCACAGGCACTTCTAATCATTACATACCTGACTGGCTGTTTGCTCAACAGTACATTGTTTCATGGTAGAAATTTGTCTTTGGAGAGAGGCTTTCCTTTTAATAAGCTCTGTTAAAGAACAAACTTTAATGGTCACAGTTGCCAGATATATTTTGTAGCCTGCATTACAAAGCTGCCCCAGGCTAAGTTCCATGCAGGTAGTGTGCTAGCTTTAAGCCAGCACCGTAGTCTAACTCATCTCTCCTTCTGTAGCTCATTTATTTTGCATGCTCTTCAATGTATTTTTTATTTTTAAAGGATAAATATCAGCTGTAGTTCCTGTGTCTCTTAAAAAGATGTTAGTGAGATTTCTCACAAAAAAAGAGCGAATGAAAGAACTGATTATATCTTATTTTAAACGACATGAACACCCTGAGGGAGCCATCCTATGTCTTGCTATTTTTTAAGTTCCAGAAATTGATCTGAAAGGAGAATCTTGCCGATACTATTTCTTGCTACAAGGCAACGGTTCAGGAGGATGTAAAGCAACCTTGATTCATTCTGCTACCCAAATCAATGGAATGGCCACTCTTGCTGCTGTAAATAGAATACTGAAGACAAATGTAGGAGAAACAGAGTCAAGTAAGCTTTATTTATTTATTAATTTGTGTCATAAGTCAGGCAACAAAGGCTACTAATGCATTATGTGCTCACTTTATTCATTTTGGTCTGTCTTAAAGGGAAGAAACATTATACACTTTGGTGAATTAGTCTATTCTTTTTTTTAAAGTGATTAAGAAAAAGATCCAGTTTATTCACACAAGCTACTATATTTTGTAAATCAACTTCTTGGAGTTGTAGTCAGTCATTTCTCATAACTTTCAGTAGTTGCAACAGTGCAAATGGGGAGATCAAAGTAAAGTGCATGCAAATCGAATATACAAAAACTTTTAAGATATATCATTGTTGGTCTAAAGGTTGATGTCTAAAATACAATTGGTTATTATTGATAAGCCTATTTCTCTCATTTAAAATAAAAGTCAGGGAGGGAAGCAAGTTGACTGAACACACTCATGAAACTCAATTGGCAGAAGTAAATATTAACACAGAATGGTTAGCATATGAGCTAGGAGATGATCAGCTGCTTCACCAGATAAAACCACTTATCAGTTATCTTAGAATAGTTGCCCTGTTGTTGCTACAAGATATCTATGTGAATTCCTTTGTTTGCTCTCAATAACCAACAAAGAAACGACCATGGTGACCTGCATCCTTTTATTTCCTTCTTATCCAGGTAAATATGTGTGGGGTATGACTGACTGCTTACCATTTGTCCTAATTAAAATCCCATTACTAGGTGTCAGAAGACTGAAAGTCCTTGACCGTGTGTTGGGAGAAAACTTTTCTTCCCTAGTATCAAAGTAATGTTCTGTTTATGTTCTTTAAATGGCAGTCATACTAACTGCATTATCATTATTTTGGTTTTGTATAGAAAGGCAGAACTAATGGCCAGTCACCTATTCCAGGTTATCCCCTTAATGTCTTAAATGAATTTCCTGCTTTTTCTTCACTCGGATTTGGTAGTCTAGTTGTTTCCCTTCAACTTGAAATTTGTACATCTGGTGTGTTTGTGTTGTCCTTCTATCCCTTTTTAAGAAGTAATGACCCAGTGTCTCCCAAGAAGAAAGATTGTTGTTAATGGGTTTCTGCTTATCTGTGTAGGCTTTCCTACTGATGACTTTATTGAGTCTCTGCCGCGGTTCTGTGGAAAGCAAATTGTACAGAGAGAAAAGAAACTGTCACATCTCCAGGCATCTGCTTTGAAGGAGTATCTCAGTAAGTAATGGAGAAAGCACTTGAAGTTCTCAAACTAGTATCTAAGAAGTTTTTTCTTTTGAACTGAATGTGACCTCACCTTAGCTCCTTAGTTTTGTAAGGTGAGCTTGCAGCTGGCCAGTTTGTGAAGAAAAAAAATGAAGTTGTAAAGAAACTTTCCTTGATGTATCTATAATTATGTGTCAGATAATTACTTAGATGCTGGGGAAAAGAGAATGCTGAACTTCCAATACTTGGAAATTTTGAGCATATTTACCACAGAAGAATTCTGAAACTAGCATTTTCTGTGCTTTGTTTTGTTGTTTTTCTTGCTTTTTTTTTTTCCCTAGCAGAACTTACTGCGTGTTAACATAATACCAGCTTAGGGAAAACAGAATTTATACTCCTACAATGGCAGTACAAATGGCAGTGGTGGCTGTGAGTGTCCTGTGGGAGGACTGGAGCTTTTCCTCTATAAGACTGGCAAGTCCAGATCTCTGAGGCATTCAGACTTCGACATACTCAGAAATACACATTTACCAAAATTACAGTATTTCTTAGTTCTTTATTTCTTTTCTTTGCTTTTTTTTTTTTTTTTTTTTTTAAACAGAGAGAAAGAAAGTGACTGAGCAGCCTCCAGTTATTTCCACTGATGAGCTCAAAAGCTTGTTAGAACTTACAAGAGAATGCTTTTTGGACCTGTGGAACACTAATGTTCCTGAACCTGTTCCACAGAAGACTGCCCATAAAACTAGTTCACATACAGTGGCTTCTGGTAAGTATCTTTATTTAGAAAGATCTCTGTTGATGTGTTTCCACAACCTCAGTGGGCAACATGTTCCAGTGTCTCACCACCTTCACAATAAAGAATTTCTTCCTGATATCTAGGCTAAATCTACCCTCTTCCAGTTTAAAACCATTTCCCCTCATCCTGTCACTACCTGCCCTTATAACCCTTATAAAAAGTCCCTCTCCATCTTTCCTGTAGGCCCCCTTCAGGTACTTGAAGACCACTGTAAGGTCATTGGTTGTTCTGTGTCCAGTTTTTTTGAGTTAGGTCCCATAAAGTTCACGTGTAGTCCTGTAAAGTTTATGTGCATATATGTAGGGTTGTAGTTGACAAAAGGCTGCTGGACAGAAAAAACAATCTTGAGATCTTGAGATCAAATATTTCTGTGGCTGCTTGTATAAATTCCCTTGCATTTGGAGACAAATTACATCCTTCTTCTTATTAATAAGCTGTAATTGTTTTGCTTTCTTAGTGTTTTTTTTTTTGTTTGTTTGTTTGTTTGTTTCAGAATCAGATTTAATGGAGCCAAAACCATTGGAATGGCCAGAAAGACATGTTCTTCAGAATTTGGAAAACTTTGAAAAAATCAAACAAAAAATGAGGTAATGGTTAAATATTGAAGAGTTTTCTTTGTAGTGGACATTAAACATCAATCTAGAGGAACTGTATACATTCATGGCTGTTTTGTGAACTGTTTTCAAATACATTGATCATTTTTTAGAGAAAGCTTTGTTTAGGGCCAAAACTAAGTTTTTGTTACACTGTCAATTTCCAAGGTTGTTTTGGGGTTATTTCTTAGTATTTAGAATAGTATTTTTTTTTTTTTACTATTTTTATTAACAAAACATGACTAGAAGACAGGGCAAAGTAATATAGTTCTGAAGTTAAATTACCAGTGTGCTTACAGACTTCAGCAATACCAGAAAAGCATTCAAAATATTATTTTTTTTTTTTCCCCCACCATACCCATACTTAGAATTCAGCATTAGATGTCTGCTTTCTCTTAATTTATTATTGTTGTTATTAAGCTTTGCCTTTTGTTTCTCAAATACATACATGTAGTTCTTCCTTCTAACTAGCTCATCTTACACTTACCCTGAATTAGTGTAAAACATGTTGCTTAGCAGTAGAAAAGAGAAAATTTTGCTAAATTTGATTGAGGACATAAAAAACGAAGTGGAGATTTGTATGCAATAGTGTCTTTATGATTCCTGTGCTGCATATTGTATGTCTCTTTTTTAATGGGATTTAAATTTTGATCTTTGAGGACGAGAAATGGAAAAAAGAGATGAATAATATACTTCTCGTGTTGTTCTTCCTAATTGAGTTATAAAAACTGTGTTCAATTACTCCAGGCTTGCAATGGTTTTGGTTGTTTTTGTTGTTTTGTTTTTTACCAGAACAAAATAACTTCACAACTAATATTTTCTTAGATGAGGGTTTATTATTATTATTTTCCTCTAGAGCTTCTATGCTTGCACATTCATCTGAACAACTGCTTGGACATAAAGATAGCCAGCGAGAGTCACTGACATCACTCGATGCGAAGGAGTTACTAAAATACTTCACACCAGAAGGGCTGCCAGTTGGTGATCTTCAGCCACTGCATATTCCCAAACGGTATGGTACCAAACGTATTAAAGTCACTGCAGCCCATACTCAGAATTGATGACAGGAATGTGAGTAAAAATCAGGTGATAGAATCAGGGTTTGAGTTTTGGAACTTGTGTGTCCTTGCATCACATGCCTACCAGTGTGATCAACAGTTATGGCCTTGCTGTTTATTTCTTGGAGTCTGAAATGGCCAAGATGATGATGTTTCTAGCATTCCATTTAAATAATGGAATGAGTGCCTGATATGCATAAGTGTGCCACTAGACTTTGCCATAGCTGTCCTACAAACTACTGCCACTATACATTCCTATTTCCCAAACTAATATTTCTAGTATAGCAGGAGTTACTCTGATAGAACTTCAGTTTTATGAGTGTGATTTCTTTCATTCAGTGAGAAGGAAATTATGTAGGAAGAATACTCATTAAAATGTAAAAAGGACAATAGCTGAATCTATTTATTTGTGTCTCTTGATGTGCTGACCTAGCATTCCTAACTTTATTCTTAACTGGTAAAGTGCTCCTTGAAGAAAGCTTGTCTACTTTGACTGCTTAGCAAGAATTTATTCTTAGTGCGACTGCTGTTAAGTTATTAGTGCAGTAACCACTTCCATGTCAGCAGCAAGAAATGTAAGGAGTTAATGGAGTACTTTTCAGAGTTTAATAATCTGCTAGACTAAGGCCAGCCTATCCAAAGACTACTAAATAGAAATATCTTTGCAGTTACTGCTGTTATATTTGTAGACCTTTTTAATAACAGGGATAAGAGTACTTATAATGGAATCATTGGATACTGCCCTTGATACATTTTTGAACTTCATTATGTGTAATAAATTAAAAGGGCTTGTGAGAGGGAAGGTTACAACCTACTCCAGGGAATCTTCTTTAGCAAGAGGGTTGGACTGATATCTCCAGAGGTCCCTTCCAACTCTTAAGATCCTGTAAATTTAGAAAACATCTGTAAAATACTTAATGGAGTTTTGAAACTGTTCTGAGCAGATAAATCAAGCAAGTTGGAAGATAGAGTGAAAACTGAATGTCCTCCAGAGCTCTTAGCTAACGAGTGCCAATGGTTTAGGATTTTGGCTGTATTATAAAATATTTTCATTACATATGTGGGAAAGGAGTTAATAGTTCTTTCCAGTACAGAGTTGTGTTCTACATTCCTACTACTCAGGTGCCCTGTTGTGAAATGTGATAATTGCCTGGATTCATTAACCTCTAAAATGGTAAAAACATCTACGAGATTGTGTACTAGTAATAGCTTAGTAGACAGTAATTGAGCTTAAATTCTTAGTTCAGTGAAGACTTAATTTCCTACTGATGCTCTGTATCACAGGCTTAATGAACTACAGGATGTGCTGTTTTAGTCTTCCCCTGTCAAGGCATTTATTTAGACTTCTGGAAGTATAATTTATCCTAGCTGCTTCTAAAATTGGTACTATGCTCCTTTTTAAAATAGATGATATATGTGCACATATACTTTTTTCCTTCCAGTGAAAATGCATTCTTTTTGACACCTGAGCTTACTCCTCGGAAGCTAAGAGGTCTGCCTTTTGAAAAAGCAGCTGGATGCCATTATCATGGAATTGAGTAAGTGTTCTCACTTCTTTCCTCTAACTATTTTCAGCTTCCAGGCAAGATGTAATTAGAAACATTTCAAGCACCATGAACATAATTATGGAAAGCTTTGTATACTTTCCCTTCGGTGGGATAACTTTGCACTTGTCACCTCTAGCTTTCTTATCTTTATTTTATTCCTTAGTTTAATTCAACGCAATTCAACACACCTACTTTGATGGTAATTTAGCAAAGTAGAGGTTGTTTCTTTTCTTCTATGTTCTACTGCTGTTTATTATTAGTGTTTCTGAAAACTTGAATTCAGAATTGGAACTGGCAAGGGCAAGAGTGCTCATTAAAGCTTGTCAAGTCACTCAAATAGCACAGAGAAAGCTTTGTAAGTTGCTTCTACTTCCATGTTCAATTATAGGCACTTTCAGACTAACAGTCATAAGGTGTATGAGATTTACTGTAAAGCCACCTGTATATGCAAGCAACCTGAACACAGCAGCAGTGTGCAAGTGTCACTTGTAAAAATCTGCAGAAGGATTAACATGGTCACGACTGCACCGAGCCCCAGACAGCCACACTTTGTTATTGACCAAGGCTTCAGATGGATGTGCTTCATATGATGTAGCTGTTTAAAAATTTTTTAGAAAACTGTGCATATCCTCATTGATGAGAAGAGAAAAATGACACACATAAGCACTAAAGTAGATGGTTCAACGTAACTCCTCTTTGTGACAAACTTTGTTTTAACACAACGTACTGTATATATGCAGAAATGCAGTGGGTACCAAGTGGATACCAAGGTTGGTCTCCATGTAAATTTCTGCCTCCTTCTAAAACTCCTAGTTAAAATCATTACCATATGACTAATTATGCTGCTGTTAGTTTTTTCCTGTCTACTTTCCTATCAACACACAATTTAGTTAAGTCTACACTGAATATTTGTTATATTTTTCTGAGTGGTAACTTATGAGCCTGTTAGCTTTCTTAGATTAGCAAAAGGCACAGAGAGGCGATTAGGTAGGCAGGAGAAATGAATCCTCCCAGCTGTAGGAGGAAAGTATTTGGCCATTGGCTTTGGAACACTTGCTGACTTGCTTGACCTGAGCACGGAGCATGTGAGGATTCAAATTAGGCACAGCTTGTACTACCTCATGTCATAGGAAAAATGATGGGTAGAGACCACAGGGGGAGGAGGGAGGGTGGAATGTGCTGGGAATAAGAGGGAAGCAGTAGAGTAAGGTGGTGGAAACTAGCATGAAAGGGAAGAATATGGAGCTGTTCTGCTGTACAAGCAGAACAGATCCTTCCAGGAGTACCAGAGGGAGCATATGATCATAGAATCATAGAATGTCCTACATTGAAAAGGACCACAATGACCATCTAGTTTCAACCCCCCTGCTATGTGCAGGTCACCAACCATAGACCAGGCTGCCCAGAGCCACATCCAGCCTGGCCTTCAATGCCTCCAGGGATGGGGCATCCACAGCCTCCTTGGGCAACCTGTTCCAGTGCCTCACCACCCCTCTGTGTGAAAAACTTCCTCCTGATATCCAACCTAAACCTCCCCTTAGTTTAAGACCATTCTCCCTTGTCCTATCACTATTCATTCTTATAAACAGCCATTATGGTCTTTTGGAGCAGTTATGTTTTGTAATGTGCAGTTGTGATTTGTTTCCACCTGCGTAGCTGCTGTATTTTTATTTGGAAGTAGAGTTTTGTCAACAAAACCAGGAGAAGCGGTTATAATTAAATCAAATTTCTAATGTAGTGAACCTGTGCCAGCTCTTGGATCCTGTGTTGCAAAGAGAAAGTAATTGCAGGTAAAGAAGAGCGAGTTAAATGGTAATTTAACTTCTAAAGATAAAAACGTTTTTAGCTTTGTAGGGGATTTGATTACTCGGGGGACTTGGAATATAAATAAGGAAAATTAAATACCTTGAAATTTGTGAGTTAAGAGAACTTATTCTTATCAGATAATGAATTTATTTCTAGTGGAAAGTCTTAATCAGCTGTAGAAATGGATTCAATGCTCTGTAGAAAAGTGAATTTCTCCCTGAATATGAAAGCACTCTGAAAAAAGAAGAGGAATCAGATCTAACCATTCATTGTAACCCTGTGTGAGGAGATAAAAGTAAAGAATTCTCCACAGTTTCTGAGAATTGGAAACATTACTACCTGCTTTGGAGAGTGGGCTGAGACAACTCAGAATGGGAGTTAAGCCTCTTGTTCCTCCTAATCATGAAGAAAGTGAAGGGCTGGGGCAGCTCGTGCTCATGCAGTGATGTTTCTGCATGTTAGCGTTTCAGAAGATAGGAATCTCTCATATAGTGGTGCTTATCTTGCTAAATGGTATGTTTTCAAATTGTGCAATTAGGAAAGATCTGTGCTATACAGCCCTTAAAACGCTCCCCATGCACTGTCTTCCTCGTTCATGCAGTTCATGCAGTTCACTCACTTCATGCAGTTTTACAGCTGCATGGTTTCTGGCAGAACCTGACTAAAATTATGTCAGTATCATTGCATTTTGGAATTCCTGGAGTATGATATTGGAGTGCATCATTTTATATGTAATATCCCATTATTATCTGGGTGTCAAAGTTTCAGTGGATGCTTGCAAGGTCTGAGGTCTGGAAGATACTGCATCTGTTACGGTGTGACGGATTCTTCATGTATTTGGTTTTAGAGCTTTCCTTTTTGCTGCTTTACTGGAGTGTCACTATACATTAATAGAGGTAGCATCTGTGAGGTACAGGCTGACAATCCAAATATAACACAGCGCCGACTATAAGGAGAAAAAAATCCATTGTCAGCATCACAATTCATTACTTACTTCAGTTACTTCAAGGAAAAACATCCTGCTAATGTCCACAGAAATCTTATTTGCTAGAGCATAACGTAAAGACATACAAATAATTAGATAATAATGCTTATGTATTGGAGTTAGTCTTAAATATAGAGTATTGGCTTACACATAATGTAAATAAATCTATCAGGTGTGTATTAATTTGTGGGGCCATTTTAAGGTATCTTTCAGAACAGTACATTAGTCCAAACAAAAAAAGTGCTGGAGATTATATTATAGGCAGAAGTAAGTTGTTCTTTTATTTTTTTCTGCTTGGAATAAAGCAGAGACTGAATCACAGATTTCTCTCAAATTTAAACTGTAGATACTGTCTAGATAACAGGAAAGCTTTAGAGAGAGACTTGGGATATGCTGAACTTCAAGCTCGTCTTATTCGCTATGAAACTCAGACCACGTGCACCAAGGAATGCTGCCCTCTGCCGGTCGTCTTGAGCCCTCTGCCGGCTGTCCTGAGCCCCCTGCCGTCTCCTGCAGTCTCGTCGGAGCCTGGAAGCGTCCCCGATGGAGAGTCTTTACAAAGTGAATTCAGAACAGAGGTACTGAGGCTAAAACGCAGATCAAAAGACTTGGATTGCTTTCATCCCAAGAAAAGGTAACACACTGAATAAAATACATCTTGACATGAAATATTTCAGCCATTTCTCCTGGAATGCATCTTTCATCTTGAAATGTTTCTTACTGCAGCTGTCTTGACAGTTGTTTGTTGTTTAGTTGTCTTTTATAAGTTCAGTTTTTCTAAAGTGTGGCCTCCTATTGATAGCATTAAATTAATCTAGGCAGTGCAGCAGAGGCGCTTCTTGTTTAAGAGACCTGTGATTGTATCTTGCAAAGTCTGCGCTGCCTTTATAAAGAGAACAGATCGTTTCTGTCCTAAGCAAAGCTGTCAGTGCTGTTGCAGTACAAATAAACAACTATAGATTTAGAAAGCCAAGAACTGTGCTCTGTAATTGAATTCCTTATCCAAAGGACTTCTGGTACAAGATGACCCACCAAAAATCCAAACTCATTAAGTTATCAGCATTATGAAAATAATTTCTGAAAATGTTATTTATAGACTTCTGTTTGTACCATGTCCTTTTTTTGAAGATGTAAGTAATATGTGGCACAATGAATTCATGTTGTGTTGTAGTGGTCACTTTCCCTTCACTCCAGTTAATACCCCTTACAATCTGGTCACAGGTGTGCTACAGTGAGCCTTTTTAACAAGAAGATGATTTTGGAGCTGTCTGTAGATTTTGCAGCTTACTGAGTAGTTAGAAATGATGTGCTTGTGTTTAGCACGTGATAGAATCAAAGTTTTAGAATTGCTAACCCTCGTTAAAGCATCAAGCATTACACTGTTCCAGTAGTACTATCATGTCTCAGTTCCTGTAGATCAATTGTGACAACCCTATAGGGACAAGAGAAATTTGGCAGTTTCAAGAAGTTTTATTTTATCCTGAGACTGAAGACTAGAAGCTCAGCTCTTCCAGCTCTCTATAAAGTATATTGAAGAAGAAGATAACTCCTCTCAGTTATCTTGTTTTCTAATGCTTTTTGTAAGAATGTGTAGTGATCCTAGCAGTTATACAGCAGCCTCTATAGCAGAAACAAAGCCACCAGAACACTCATTACAAAATAAAAAGTTTTTTCTCTCTTTTTTTTTTTTTTCTTTTCTATTCAGGCTAACAAAATCAGAGAGTACAGACTCTCTCCTCTCCCAGGCAAGTGGGGGAAGTGGGAGTCATAATGCTCTGGTGGTAACCAGGAAGCGCTCTGAAAGATCAGTTTCTTTAAGTTCGATGGCATTGAAGCAGTCTGGTCAGTCCCACAAAGCAGCCATGAGGGCTGGTTCAGCAAGCTGCATAAGTGCAACAGAATCTGAGACTTCAAAGCCAGTTAAGGAATCGAGATCTCAGAAACATACAAGGGTAAGGGTTTATTTTGTTTGCTTTGGGAATTAAAAAAAAAATAATTTGATTTCTTTGTTTGTGACTTGAGTGGATAGTGATAGGACAAGGGGGAATGCTTTTAAACTAAGACAGAGGAGGTTTAGGTTAGATATTAGGAGGAAGTTTTTCACACAGAGGGTGGTGAGGCACTGGAACAGGTTGCCCAAGGAGGCTGTGGATGCCCCATCCCTGGAGGCATTCAAGGCCAGGCTGGATGTGGCTCTGGGCAGCCTGGTCTGTGGTTGGCAACACTGCACATAGCAGGGGGGTTGAAACTAGATGATCATTGTGGTCCTTTTCAGTGTAGTCTGTTCTATGATTCTATGATTTTAATGTGAACTATGAATTTCTCTCTATTTATTACTAAATTTGGTTCTGTTTACTTCTGTAACTGAATCCTGAAGACACTGAGGAGAGCGTCCCAAAAGTGAGGAGTAAAAATGTGTAAATGTTAAGCCTTGCTCAAGGAATTAAGTTTAAGAGAAGTAGCAAATAGGAGTAAAAAAAAAAAAAAAAAAAAAAAGAAGGTGGCAATAAATACCAATGGTTAGGAGTTAAGAAATTTAGAAAATGAATAGAAACTCCAAAGCCAACAAAGAAATATCTGTACTGGGAAGATGAAAGCCATTGTGAAAGAATGGACTTACCAGGGAATAGAGAGTAGTTGTCTAAGTCCATTAACAGATTTAACATTTAAATACACTGATGTAATAATGTTTTATTAATGGCTTTATATATTGGGAATGCCACTTCTAAAATACAGCCCAGAAAGCTTTCTGGCTTGGGAATGATTATTTAAGTGAATCCCTTGGTACCAGAGAGGACTGCTTGAATGTAGTTATTACAATGTCAAAGGCAAGTCAGGATGACTTGAGTAAGCATATATTGTGTCTCATTCAGACCTAAAGACTCACTCACTCTCTCTTTCTGTTTGTCTTCAAAGTCCCACATGAATATTCCCTGATTCCCTATGTTGCTTTGACATGTAACCATTCCATTAATTTTAAGTTGAAATAAGTTAAATAACTCCGTCTAACTCAGTGGTTAGTAGGTTGATGGCATTTGTCCAGTGCATTAATGGCAGAGACAAGAGCAAAAAAAGATCAGGGTAGTTTTTTGTTTGTTTCTTTGAGTTTTCTTTGAGTTCCTTAAGGTTGGAAAAGACCACTAAGATCATCCAGTCCAACTGCCAACCCATTGCCACCGTACCACTAACCATGTCCTTCAGTGCCACATCTGTGTATTTCTTGGATACCTCTAGGGACAGGTGGTGACTCCGCCACCTCCCAGGGCAGCCTGTGGCAGTGCATTACCACTCCTTCTGTGAAGGAATTTTTCCTGATGTCTTTCAGCCTTCTCACTGTACTACAACTCTTGTGTCTCCATCTTTGTTGGGAAGAATGAAAGAGAACAAGTGTGATTTATTTTTCCTTGGATGGTTTTTCATGCCAAAAATTGGGATGAACTTTTGAGTGTGTTTCTGTTGTTTCCAAGATGCTGAAGGAGGTGGTAGCCAAGACTCTACAAAAGCATGGAATTGCTGAGGATCACAAGTGCTTTCCATCATGCAGCCAACGTCTATTTGAGATATCAAAGTTTTACTTAAAGGTAACTAGGAAACATTTGCTTACAATTCTTTGCGCTTAGTTGAATGAGTCTGTTCCTGAATACACCTTGGGATGGATGTATTCCAGTTTGATTGTGCTAATATTCTTAGTGCTGTGTCATTTATATGGGTAGAATATGGATAAACCTTTGGTGAAACCTTTGGTCTTTGGTGAATATATTTTGGTGGTTGTAGTTCTGTTTGTTTTCAAACCTTACTGAGCAGCAGTCTTTTATGAGAGTTAGATAATGTGTTAAAGCAATGGGCTCTTAGGCAGGGTTGTGCTTATTATATATACTTTTCCTTACTACTGTGGCTATCTTCCAGCCATAACTATCTCATTATTTTAATGAGCAAAGAAATGCCCATGAATTCAGTTTCTCCTAATTCATCTTACTTCAGCAAGTCTAGCATATAAGATCATGTGTGGGCTGTTGTAAGCTATAGCTGTTCTCAAGGTATAAATAAAGTTCCTGTTCACAGAATCTGAGGTGATACTTGTGGTAAGTAGAATTGCTCTCAGCTTTATGGAAGCGTAGAAAATCTGGGAGACACTAGGTGAGAAGCCACAGGGGAAAAAAACCACAAAGTTATGGGACAGAGAAGTAACCATAACGCAACTTTCTTACAGCAGTTTTGTTTTAAAACTGTAGTGTTTCACTTCCTTGTTTGCTTTGCAAGTCCCTTGGGAATGAGTGTCAGATGAATGCAAATGACCTTATATCCACATTGCTGTATGGACCTGTATAGTGTAGGCTAACTTACACATGCTAATCATTTACAGACTAGATGTTAATCATTTAAAGATGTAGATGGAGTTATGTTAGCATCCTATGTTGTCCTGCAGTTTGTTTTACATTTTGCACTGGGATTGTCTTAATGATATCTCAGGATAATTTTGTCTCCAAATTTATGATCAATTTAGTGCTGTCCTGAGTGCTCTAGTGCCTTGGTCTGATAGAGTGAGCCATATAAAGCTACTTTATGTTTTTGCCTTTATGCATATTTCCCAAACTGTGATTGCAGCTATTAGTGAAAGCCATCCTTTGCTCATATAAAACTGTAGAATACGGATCACATTTCTTCTGTCAGAATGAAGGTTTCATGCTGGTCAGGTTACAAAGAACACTGATTACAAATAAAGAAATATTTCAGTAAACTTGCTGAGTAATCTTTGTCCTTCACCAGGCAACTCAGCTTCTCCCTTGTTCTAAGGTTACTGGATAAATAGGTAGCTTATGCAGTTCACTGAAAATCCAGTTCCTTTATGTGTTCATGGAAATTCTTGTCAACACACTGCAAATGTGTGCAACTACTTAACATGCTGACTGGGCAGCACCATGTAATGCATGAGTGAATTCAGATGGGTTCATGGTTCCACTTGCAAGTGAAGAGCAAAAGAAATGATCCTGTTCTGTAGACACAGAAGGTAGTTATGTTAGGATTTTGTTCTTCTGAGCTGTCTTGTAGTCCCAGGTCTGTACGACTTTGTTCTGTGTGCTTCAGAAGCATGATATTGTAGATAGCATTTTCCTAGGGAGTCAAGAAGTAAATAAATGTTCTCAGTTTTATTTCAGACAATGTTATGTGTTTGCTTTAAGAATGGCTTCGTGCCACAGGTTAGGTTTCTTGAGATAACAAGGACTTTGAATGTTATCATTCATTAATAACAAGAATATGAGCATCCTAATATCTTTGGCTTTGTGCTTTAATATTTAGGACCTTAAAACTTCTAGAGGACTTCTTGATGAAATGAAAAAAACAGCAAGTAACAATGCTAAGCAGGTAAGAGCATTTGCTTGATTTGTGTGTTCATTTCTATTAACTAGGCCAGGCTAGAATATGGGATGGTTTGGTCCACAGCTTTAGGAGATAAGAAGCATTCATTCCTTTGGCTGTGGATCTTGTTTTGCATTCTGATCCCACAAAAACTCCCAGTCATTAGTCCCATGGCAAGATTTCCAGTTGCATACACTCATGATATTTGTAGCTGTAACTGGAGCACTACCTATCTGATATGTCAAAGTGAAAAATGTGGAAAAGTTTATTTTCCTTCAATTACGACTGAGGAAAAATGCATGTGAAAATGTTCTTCATTTGGGAGAAGTGTGGATCGTTGGGGAATTCTTTCTGTATCTTCAAGGAAATAAAATTTCTTTTTGAAGTTAAGGAGGCCATACACAGATCTATCACAGGAAGTAAATTTCTTCTTAAAAGCAGAGAAAATTAACAATTTTAAGCTTAGGAATAACTTTAAATGAAAGTGACGTCAGATGAGTTCTTGGTGTGCAGGCAGCACTTCTAAGAGCAGCAGCACAGAGCAAAGTAACTTTGTTTTAGGTTTCAGAAAGCATGCTGAATTTGCTTCATAATTTAAAAAAATGGAGGGGAGAAGGTAAAGCTTTGTATTTTTACAGTACTGTTTTCAAAATCTTAATTAAGGTGTATGGATTTAACCTGAGTTAGCTAAATGAATAGACATCCCTTAAACTCTTGAGTACAACTGCTAGATCCTCACAGGTTTTATTCTGCCAGGGCTGTGCTGTGTGCTGTGTGCTGTGTGCTGTGTGCTGTGTGCTGTGTGCTGTGTGCTGTGTGCTGTGTGCTGTGTGCAATGTTTTCTACAGATTACAAGGTTTCAAAAACAAAGTAGGTTTGGTGTTTCTTTTTAAACAGGTATATTGTACTAGCACACTGTTTCTCACTTTGATCTTTGTCTGGGGAGACCAGAGGCTGGGTTTGTGCATGGACATTCCAACCTCTTTGCCAGCAGCATCTTGTCTGCTGACCACCTCACCCTGCATTACAGAATATATGGAAAGAATGTACACTGTGGGGTGAAATCACTCATTCAGAGGATCTCAAAACACCTTTTTCTAAAGACAGTGAGTTCTCTAAATTAAATACAACTTTTGGGCAACACTTCTCAGCTTATTAATGACTCTCCTTTGGGAGGATTGCCTTCAAAATCCCGTTTAGAAGAATTGATTTTATCTGTCAGATATTCTTGAAAGCAACTTCAGAACAAGAGTTATGGGAATAATTTTCTCTTTTCTTTTCCCCAGGTGATTGAATGGGTTCTGGAGAAAACTGGCAAGTAGACCCTGCAGAGACACAGCACTTCTGACTGCAGGAAAAACATTATACTGAGTAACACCTGCAACTACCTACTCAAGCACCAGAAGAACTTGGTTAGTACAAAGATACAGTCATAGTTCTCAAACACAGTAGCATCTTTTGAAACATTTTATATTGAAAGATCTAATTTCTTAAATCAAATGAGAAAGGTTTTATATGTTATTTATTATGTTTTATTATTAAGAGGAATACAGCTTGGCTTGTTTTTTATAAAGCTTTGTATGTTGTTCAATGAGTGTATTTTTACTGTGAATTAAAAAAATGCTGGATCTGATTTTAATAATGGGACCACTTTCTTCTACCTTTTGCACAAAGACCTCTGTTCTATTTATTACTACTTGCTGTTGTATATACTGAATAAAACTGTTTACAGTGTGGGCCTTTGACATTTTATATTGTAGCTGACAACAGTTCCTGTTCTGTGACTGAAAACAATTAGAATTTGAATTAGAGTTTTGTAATAGATGGAAAAAAAAAAAAAAAAAAAAGCTTGTCTTTTGGAATTTGATGAAAGGTCCCACGAAAGGTGCATTAAGAGAAGGACTACAGCCTGAAATTCTGGTGAAACTTCATGTGTAGTCTTGCTAACAATTCTTAGAAACGGTTCAGAACAGAAGTTTTTTCCCCTCATTCCTCCCTTACCTCCCTATAGTGTACACAGTGAGCCTGGCTTTATGTGCTACCTCACTTCATGAGCAAGTAGAACTCAGCAGTCAATTAAACTGAAATTAAATTAATTCTGTAGACTCAAGGCCAGACTGAAACAATCAACAGGAAGGCAGTTAGGGAACTATGAGCAGTTTGATGGATCATTTGTTTGCATGATTCCAATACTAAACTGCCCATGTCTCATTTTCACTTGATTATTATGTTGGTTTGTTTTGTTTATAGCTAGTTCATAATGATGGCTTAATAACTCACTGTGCCCTATTTGAGCTGTGAGTGCTGTCCCTGTGTGTGCTCTTAGCCGACTAAAGTACACAAACTCATTTGTCCTGGCCTACAATTACAGCACTAAAACAAATTATTTTGCACGTATCATACTTTTTAATTCCCACATTTAAGATTTCCTGTGGCACGGCTGCTATGCTGTAACTTTTGTGATATGGGATGTAACGTCACTATGCCTCTGAACTTCAAAATTTTTGTTTATGGAAGAGGAACCCAGAATCTAGTCTGACCTACACACACTTTGCTGCATAAGCTTTAGATATTTGCTGTCATGTTTCTGCACATCAAAATGTAAGTCATCAACGTGCAGTAGTGTCTACCCACAACCATGCTGTGTGCTTACAGAAGAGCAGGGTAAAAAACTGACATGGTGATGGTGAGATGAGGGTGAGACTTATCAAACTCTCCAGTTCTTTCTTGGGAGTTGTTTTCTAATGTCTGTCATTATTTATACAAGCATAGAACTTCTGACAAAGTAACAAACTGAATGGCTGTCTGATATGGAACAGCACTGATGTGTTCACATGAGGTGGAGAGACTTTTTTCTTCACAGTTTAATTTGAAACTTCATTGAAGGGGTCACATATCAAGCAAGATGGCAGTTTCCTGAAATTCTGCTAGTGTATCCTCCTGTTAAAAATTACCAATTATTTTGTATTTTTTGTTACTTTCTGGTAAAATAGCCCCACTGGATGGCTAGTTAGAAACTTCTGTTTGCCTCTTAATAACAAACAAACAAAAATTTACAAATCAACAGTAGTGTCACAATCCAGAGTGCTTTGAGGTAAACCAAAGCAGCACTAATTAGCTTTTAAGCATGGCTAAGAGAACACTGAGAAGTCTCTTCGCAGACAGAAATTATACATCACAGAAGGGTTTGGGTTGGAAGGGACCTTTAAGATCATCTAGTTCCAACTCCCTGCTGTAGGCAGGGACACCTCCCTCTAGGCCACATTGCCCCATCCAGCCTGGTCTTCAGTGCTTCCAGGGACGGGGCATCCTGAACCCTACTGGGCAACCACACTTGCAGTAAATAATTTCTTCCTAATATGTACTCTAAATGCACCCTTTTCTGTTTTTTAACTGTTTCCTCTCATCGTGTTGCTCCATGTCCTTCTAAAAAGTTCCTCCCCAGCTTTTCTGGAGGAGCCCTTCAGGTACTGGAAAGCCATTACTATTATGTGGTCCCTCTGGAGCCTTCTCCAGGCTGGAGATCCCCAGATCTCTCAGCCTGTCCTCACAAGGGAGGTCTCCAGCCCTCTGATCATCTTTGTGGCCCTCTCTGGACCTGCTCTAACAGTTCCCTTGTGCTGCAGTTAAATCCACTTGCAACCTCCACTTGCAGTCAGCTGCACCTTGGGATGTGAAGAGCAAGCTGCAGCAAACTCCATGGCCTGTGGGGAGAAGGGCTATTTACCTCTCATAAAAAGAAAACACTCATTTTGTTACCTGGTAAAGTCTAATGATACTCGTGGCAGCAGTTTACTTGGTAGTGCATTCAGAGTTGTTTCTGATTTATGAAATACCTGAAGAGAGATGCTGGTTCTTGTTAAAGAGCAGGACTCTTCAGAAACAGCAGTGTGCTTCCCTGACCAGAAGCAGGGATTTATTTATTCATTTATTTTTTAATAAGCTCCTTGTATCTCAGTTTCCCAGTAACATGTATGTTCCAATACGTATCCAAGTATTTCTAATGGGGAAGCTTCTATAAAGACTTTATTTTGGAAAAAATTGAAACTCCAGAAGGACCCCATTTTAGGATTTCTGTGAGGCTGCTGTGCTATGCCCTGGGTAACACCGGCAGAACAAGCTTACAGCCTCACAGCTGGCTATCTGGGCCACTAGGTTCAGAATTAATACAAAGAGGAAGGAAAATGTTCTTTTTTTCCATAAGCATCCCTAAGAACGAAGCAAGGCATATGTTGGCCTTGCTCCTTGTATGCAAGGGCTTGAGCAGAGGAGGTCTTTCATGACTGCTGTAGCAGCCCAGTTAAGTATAAGCAATGTGCTGCTGACACTGCATTAACACGTGCTGAAATAACTTTCAAAGTCAATACTCTATCAATGTCATGAATAGTTCTTTCAGGTAACTGAACTTAGAACAACTGAGATGTAGAACATCTCTTTCTGCAGCCCCAAACCAAAGGACAGCCTTCTACACAGCTTGTTTGGGTACGAAGTAAGCTCACCTCACAAAAAAATCCAATAAATGACTTTATTAAATATATTCTTTTCCTCTAAAATATAAATATTCACTATACTCTTATAAATGTGGAGTAAGTCCGTATTTATCTATCCCATCCAAATATGAATCAGTCCAAAATCTGAAAATGAAGAAATAGCATCTGTAATTATCATTATTTTTTCTATAAATATATATAATAGGAACTTTCTTTGCAAACTGTTTAGTTATTCACTTATACTTCATATAGTACTGAGCACCTTAGATTACATACTGTGTAATTTCATTGTTGGTACTAATATAGGAATTTGAAATATTTACAATGCACATACATGTTAAGTATAACATTCCAGTGATTTGTAAATGTTAAAGGAATAAGGAAATAGTGCAGTACAGTTTACATATGCTTTTAACCTATCCCACAGAATGCAAGTTCTCACTCTAACCTATGGAACTTTATAGGAGCCTACGTCCATATTTTTAAGTTATGCTCTGAAACAGCAATGAAATACTTTGCAAACAATGTCCTGAATGACCTTTTAAAACCATCACACAACAATTTACTTGACAATGTGATCTGAGTTCATATCCAAAACCCCAGCCTCCAGCATACCGACTGCTCACAGCTTCTCAGAAGATGCTATCCCAGAAGCTTCCAAGTAAAGGAGACCCAAATAACTGCTGCAGAGGGATATGAGGATGGCAGCAGTAGCAAAGTGAGAAATGTGCATTTGGAAATTATTGATAAGTTACGCAACATAGCTCCTAACTTGTGACTTCACACAAGGCATTAATTTTTAAGTGCACGTACCATGACAGTAAAAACTCAAAAAAAGTTCACAGATAGGTAAATCACCTTCAGACTTTTCACTGGAGAGAGGCACTGGGCATAGGGCTGCTGTTCCAAATGTCAGTGTAGCTGTTCTGAAGCAGCTGTTTTCACTATTTGCAAATTCAGCCCGTCGTCTTAATTTTTCAATTAGCTTTGATGGTTGAGATACCTATGGAAACCACCACAATCTAATTCCTACCCTGTGATAAGCACTATGACATTTAAATCTCAAGACTTAGCTTGAAAGTAACATGGAACCAAACTGTGTTTTCAGTCTTCTTTGCCAGCCAAGTGATGTTACACTGAAACTGATTGGCTTTCTGAAGAATAAAATAGATGTAGTATGACAAGCAAAGTTCTGCAACTTCTGATTACTTCCAACATAATTCCTGTCCTTCAAAGTGTGAATTTAGGGCAAAACTCTAAAAGCAAACAAGAACCAACTCAACCTGAAGCTGTTCCGTTGCAATTTAAGAACACTGTAAATGCAGTCCATTGTGTTCCTATTCCCACCCAACTACATGAAGTCAACTACTCAGTTCCAGGTTAGTTCCAGGACCAAGCTGAACACACGGTCTCACAAAGAAAAGCAACTTTCTGCAAAAGGAAGTCTTCCTCCTTGCAAATAAGCAAAATCAAGACCATACAACCAGACCTGGCAGAGCTGAGGGGTTGACAAAGTTGGAGCAGGAGGATAGGAAGCTCCTAGTATGACCTAGCCTGGCTTACTGCTGGAAAACTGAAGTGGGAACGTGCTGGCAGGAGATCAGGTCACATGTCCCATTGGATTTGATTATCTCTTACCTGAGCCTGAGAACCCCGTGAGATGAAGCTCCAGGTTATTGGAATCATCTGGAAAGCCACTAGGAAAGCACATCCCGTGTTTCCATACAAAGGATGCTCCCCTCCTGCCTCTGCCCTGCTGCCTTCCCTACAGGTAGTGCTGCATCAGATCCATCGCTAGGAATGTACACAAGATGTCTCTATCATTTAACTTGAAAGGACCCCTCAGCAGGCACTGTGCAGCTGGTCACTGACCACCTCAGTATTGCTTTGGAGCACACTGCTCACAGAGGCTGTCTGCGTGCTCTGCTGGGTGTGCAGCAACATGTTCTGATGGCTTCTGACAAGGAATTCTGCAAGTGGTGTAAAGGTTTGAAGGACCAACATGTGACTTCTAGGCGTTGGGACAATCTTGTTTATAGAACTTCCACTCCAAGAACCATGAGTTTGCATCACAGCCAATTCCCACTCCTTTCTGCTTAGCCCTTTACTTATTCTGTATTAGCCAGCACGTTGAAATAAGCACGATTTATGATTCTGAAATATTTACACATACGGTACTACACTCTTTTACTGTCTGATAAGGGATTTTAAAATCCCACTATTTACATTGTTTTCCTTGTCATGCCACTTCTTCAGCTGATCATAATTTAGTCTTGAAAGGTTGACAGGAGTGACCAAGGACTGGGATAGAACCCCAGTCTGGTGCAGACTGCTCGCTGCTACAGGTTGCCAATGATGACTGCACTTCAGATGTGTGGTTGCTCCACTTTTCTTTGAAGAAACAGATGTGTGTATCCCATTTATGCCACCAAACCAAGTCTTGTAATCTTAGCCGACAGGAAGGAATGAATGATGAACACAATTGGTTTTGGACAGGAATGAAGGTCCAGTTGCTGAAATTAAAGGAAGAAATCAAATTGAAAATAATTAGACTAGATTGCAGCTCAAGCAACCAGTAATTTATGGAGCATTTACTACATTAACTGCTGTTTGGTATTTTCAACAGACTTCTATTAATAACAACCCTTTATTACAACATACTGTTTTTTCTTTGCATGCAGCTGCAAATATTTAAGTCACTAAGGAAATAAGAAGCACGTTGAAAGCAGATGAGATCTGTGTGCCTCTGGGCTTATATCCACCTGGGTAAGCAGCTAACACTGACTCCAATGCTGTAAGCTCTTTTCTAAGAGTTTCAAACCCTCCATGTTTTCAGGAGTAGGGATGGTGGTGTGACTGCTGTGTCCAATACCTCCTCCTCATACTTTTCCCTATGTATCTGCTCTTGGTCACTGCTGAAGCCAAAACACTGTACCACGACCTGACTGTGCATGGCTGCTCCAACAGGCTGAGAATAAACACTTTACAGAATGTATATTATCAAAGGATATAAAGAATTGAGTAGCCAATATGCTCTGGAACCACTAGAAGATTTGGCCAGAAAAAAAACATATTTGCAAATATAATTTATGGTATCTAAACTGTTTGTAGGAATAAACATTTTTAGGTTATGTGACAGCTAACTTTAAGAGTTAAGCAGACGGTTTGCACTACATCTGTAATCCCCATTTTTTTCCCACAATTAGATTTTTAAGAGTGCCTAAACCACAGTTTGTCACATTAGATGAAGGACATACGTGCATGCTGAAATTATTAATAACATCACATTCTTCAGCTCTTCTACCCACAATCATTTAAAAAGGGCAATGGATACATATAAACATTCTAACATCTGGCTATACAGACATACAATATTTTTGTAAATATAAGTAATCATTCATCTCTCCTTGCAGTATTCCACCCTTTTCTATCTTTAGATTGTCTCTTTCTAAAGCCACATCATCATGCTGCACTGGAAACATGGCATCTACATACTGCTATTGGAACCACACCGGCCTGCTCCTGTTAGCGCTGTTCCACCTCCACAGCCTTAGGGACCACCAAAGAGATGGAAACATGCATCCCGGCTGAATGCACTACTTACAATTTCTCCATCTTTTCCTCCGAAGTCTAAATAAAGCATCCTTATCCCATCATCTGAGGACATTTTCAGTTTTTCATAGGGGTACTGTGCAATTGTCTTAGAGAAGGCACCGTCTTGTGGTTCAGTTGTAAGAGAGAATCCATGTTCGTAATGGATGGTCAAACGGCACTCCTGGCTTTTGTATGTGCAAGCTGAACAAGGAAACAAAATTCAGACCGTAGCACTCTTAAAAGTAACAAATTCAATTTGGCTGCACAAGTTTGCATTTTACATGTGATGTCAACAGTATCTTGTGGAAACTAAGCTGTTGTAGAATTGGGTTAATCATGTTCTAATCTTAGATTTGGATAATCAACTGGAGTTGTTCTGCTGAGCGTGGCCCAGGCAAGTTTTGTAGCTGTCGTCTACTTCCAGGATTACAATTCTGCTTGGTAGTAACATGGCTAATGTCAGTTCTTATGTTTACTCACTGCATTTTTCCTGTAGCAGTGCACATCTATGTGCTGACCCAAAGCAGCTTTCTGAAGATGGCTCGAGATGGCATTTCTTCCTCCCAAGCCCTGACAGTCACAGCTATTCTTGTGTGACAGAGCCAAACTCAATGAATGCGTCGCACAGTGCAAAATTAGAAGCTTGAAAGACTATCCCTGCAGAATTCTGACAAACACAAAGACACTCTGGAGTCCTCATTAGTGTCACAGTAATTGAAAAAGGGCCCAGATAATAGTATATAATAGCAACTGCAGCAAAAGTCTGCATCCTTCCCTCAGCTCTGAAACATACCATGATCCAAATTAAAAAGCTTTGGGTATTTACATCCCAAATTCTCTTTCTCTCTCTCTTCCTGTGAACTCTTTTGATAACTAAGGCTTTTTACAGGCTTTTAAGGCCCGATGGCCTTAAAAGGTGGGTGGCAGCTCTGCTGGTGGTATTGGGGTTGGAAAACCCCCATGAACATGTGTTTTGATGTCCCTTCCAACCCAAGTCATTCTATGATTCTGTGACATGACTTATAAATCCTTGGGGAACTCAATGAAAAGGTGTAGCCTAAAAGGCCCAGAGCCATTCTGGTCTGGCAGCAGACAGACCACAAGGGGCATTATTCCAGAGTGTCTGCAGCTAACTAACTTTTATTTGTTAATTTTGCAAGTAGAGAAATGCAGAAACATGACATGCTCAGGGAAGAAAATGACCAGTCACCACAAACTGGCTATTGATTTGGATTGTATTTCTTTTCACTCATTTCAAGTGTGCAGAGCTGGGTGAATAAATAACCAGTTCATGCCTGTGAATCTGCCTGTCCTCCTCTGCCTCTTCCCTTTGCAGGAAAAACTTCTGACAGGCTCTCAGAAGTCTCCTGACTCTCAAAAATAGTGGTCTTTTCTGTAGGTTTCTGGACAAACCTCTGGAATTTGTTTTCCATGACACAGACCAGCACAACTGACTACAGACTTGTGTCTGAGACCATGTGAAGAAAACAAGATGAAATGTCAGAATGGCAATGACTGTGTCCTTGTTTTGCAGTACTGATTGCAGGTATCACACCAGCTAGGGCTGGCACGGAAACAAACTAAGACGTGTGAAGAAGCAATGCTGTGTCTGCTACTCACATGTTGTGATTTCTGTGATGAGCTCTGCAGAATTGTGACAGCCCTGCACGATGCTCCTTGTCCACAGTGAGAGGTCTCTGCTCGTCTCTGTCCTGAACAGATGTGTTTCGATCCCTTGCCTCGTACCGGTACGGGTTGCGAAGGACAAATCCACCCCAGACTGTGGTGAGCCTTTTCCTGGACCAGAATGCACCAACCTGAAATTGGATTGGGATATACATTGGTGACTTTAACACAGTGTTATAAGCACTGAGCTGCTTCCACAGAGGCCTTGGGACCATCACTACAGAGCACTGTAATTAAATCACTCCCCAAGTAAAACTATTTTGTCCATCCCTAAATGCATGTTGTTGGGAGTATGTGAACTCACATCTCTAAACATAAACCTGAAGTGACAGTTAATACTCAGAGGGTGAAGGTCCACAGAAGAGGGTACCGAGGCAACCAGCCAGGCAGGTGATGGTGGGGATGCTGCAGAGGTCCAGGACTTCCTCACCAACTGCCCACAACACTCCTCTGGATAAGCAAGTGAGAGAAATCACCTTCTGGTTGTGGTCATGGGTTTGGTGACAGATGGAAATGTTCACTCAGCCGCAGCAGTTGGATACTGTCAAGCTGCTCTTGCCATAAAACTTAAACATATGCAGACAAACTCTACAATAAATGGAAAAGTAATGATTCCCATGAAGGCTGAAGTTCTGTAAAATATGCAGATGCCATGTGCTGCCTTGTGTATACTTCTCCCATAAGGTACCTGTAAAATGCAAAACGCTGCAGCTATTTGTAACCCCAAACTTCTGTTGCATTTTGCTGCAATTAAAATTTCTTTGCCTGGCACCAGCTGTTCTTCTCCCATGATTTTGGAAGGTTGGTCCATCACAGCAAACACTGACTGCACAAAATGTTTTTGGGAGAGAAAATCAACACTTCATAATATTTCATTCCTATTAAAAACTATCCTTGCTTTTTGTCCTGCAGAAGCATGGGACTGTGAATACAGAATCCAGAGAACTGTAGCACTGATTCAGCTGAGAGTAATGAACTGGAGAAGCTTGCCACACTGTGAGCTCCAGGCACCAGCCCTCAGAAGAGCCACAAAATGGGACTTGGGAAATTCTTCTGAAAACTTAATTTCTACCCATGCTTGCTTTTCTGTAGTCAAACAATATATTTGTATGAGACTATAAAATACATACATAACACGGCAGTAGAACATATGCTGAAGCATGGAACATTAGGCTTTATGCATTATGTGCTGAATACTGTTTGCCCTCAAATTATTGTTTTACATCTGGAAGGTTAGCTGGCATCATAAAGTAGCTGTTTCAATAGGAAAAAGAAAGGCAAAAAGGAAAGAAGAAGAACAACCTTCATTTTTTCAGTTGCTGGAATACTAACCATAAGACATTTGAACGTTTCCCAGATTCCCTGGCAATCCATACCCGGGATCTGCATTGTGCCCAGCAGGCATCCCCTTTCAGGTTTGCTCACACTCAGGAGTCAGAGAATTTCTGTGCATTCTGAGCCTCCTCCTCCATCACCCACCACCAGGAGGGCCGGGAGGCAAGTCGCAGTTTGTTGTTAGAGATAAAGCTCCTTTGTACAGGCTTCAAGAGCTGTGCTAAAAATTATTCTCTACTTTAGGTACCGACTGCGTCACAGATGGTTCAAAGGTTTTATTTCCTTTCAAAAACACCCCAAATTCCCAGATCTTCATGCATTATCCATTGCACTCAGACTTTTCAGCATATGAATAGAATGGAGACGTACTTCACAAATCAAAGTATGTTGGCCACATCTGACATCTGAGAGCCATTCTCTCGCAGCCTTCTCACTCACATTATACCAAACTGCACAAACAGGCAGGGGAACATTTGCTGGTATTTCTGCAGCACCACCAGCATGGATGTACTCAGCTCCACGCAGGTATTCCCGAGCGCTCCCACCCAGAGCCGCAGGGCTGCCAGAGGGCACAGGAGGTTGCTCGTGGTGCGAGCTGCTCACGCAGCATGCAGCAAAACTCAGCTCTCTGCCCGCTCCAGGGAGCCAGCGTGGCACCTGCTGATGTTCTCTAATTGTTCCCTTGTCTCTCTGGGCTCTGAGGACCTTTTTGGCATTACTCTTTGCAGGTGTGCCGTAGCGAGGTGTGTGCAGTACAGCACGACGTGCTGGGGGAGACTCTCTGAGACCTACAGTGCACTGCAAGGCTATGAGAATTTCAAACATTTGCTGCAACACAGCGAAATCCAGCGGCCTCTTCAAAAGGACACTGAAACCAGGACTGACATTCACAGCAAGTGTTCAGCTGCTCGCTGGAGACTGATCTCAGGAGGCTATGCTACAAGTTCATACACACCACTATAATCTGACCTTTCTTAGGTTGAAACCACTCCTTAACCCTTAACTTACTATTTGAAACCCGCTCTGGGCAGCTGTCCCCTTTGCAAACCTCTGCACATGCAGCAGTGCTTCTTTCGGTGCAGCTCAGGATACGTTTGGCTTTCTGGGCTGTGAGGACATGCTGTGGCTCATGTCCAGCTTCCCATCCAATACTCTCAGATCCTTCTCAGCAGTAACAATGTTTGTAATGACGGGATGTTTATGTAAAAAGTTGGATTTACGTAGGTAAGTCACCCAGACTGTCCTGTGCGCATAATCACCACATATTTGCAATTTATACTGGCATCAAGCATCAAACTGCTCTAATATTTTCTGGTTACAGAACTCAGCTTTGCACAATGGTTACTTGAGATATTTGATCTCTGATCAGAGTGCAGCATGTGCTTATTTTTCTTATCTGATATGATACATAATGCAATTTGATTGCAGACATTTAAGATGGAAGGGCTTAAGCCCCCATTCCCATGCTGTAGGGAGGCACTGTTATTCCTTCTTCAGGCATAGGGAAACATGGAAACAGATTATGACTAAAAGGTCCTTGGAGTCAGGGCTATGAGCCAGCTGCTGTGCCTCCTGGTGCAGAGACTTAGAGGAACAATTTACATCTCCTCATCTCAGTTTTATTTGAGCTATTTTTTATATTCCACACAAAGCTGCCTAGAAAATATTTTTAGATCTTAATAGCATCCGTAGGTTGAAGGCAAACTTATCAACAAACAGAAAGGGCACGTTGAAATTCTGCTTATTGAAATACTATAAGAAGACTGTAATCCTTCTACCATTTCTCAATTTTCTCTCCTCATTATGTCTTGGGTAGATTAAGCATGACTCTGTGCAGTATCTGGCACTGAAGTTTTCCAGTTTCAGCAGCTTTTCAAATACGCATTAGCTAAGCAAAAATGTTTTCCCAAGGACTCATAAAAATCTGAAAGATGGGAGCAGCCACGATTACAACATGTGGTCTGCAAACTTTCCAGGTGAAAAGTTCTCAATTGCACTGATCGATGCACAGAGGGGATGAAAAAACATGTCAAAAAGAGGGTAATCATCAGCATGAACAGAGCAGTCAGTACTGACAGCAAACCATGTATATTTTCTTGGTATAAGTACCTGGTGTGACAGCACATAAAATCAGAATCCTGCAGGGTTTTAATCAAAAGCATCCACAACAGTAGGTACAATGATTTAGGGAAACTATCATCAGTTATTGCAGACCTTGAGGATTTAAGTATTCATCTGTATTTATCAGATTGTGGCTCAGTTCTAGATGTCGTCTTTGGTATTTCTGTTACCTTTTCTACCTGTTTGCTAAATCACAGACAGGGGGCTGGATGTTGTGTGTGTGTCAACACACTCCTGGCACTGCCATCCATCCTTTCCAGCCCCAGTGCTGAGGACTGTACTTTTTTTCTAGACAGTCTAACCCAGTGCTTCACCTGCATACTGAATTTTTGCAGAACCTGCTGTGCCTTAAATACAGCCCATCCTGTTGTGTCCACCACAGATCCAGAAAACATGCTGCCTTGGCCTCTGTGTTCCACCTGTAAATACTTGAAAACTACTGGAATGTTAAGAAAGTTTTCTTAAGTATTCCCTGTATCCAAGGGAGACCCTCAGCACAAGAAGGACATGGAGCTGCTGGAGAAAGTCCAGAGGAGGGCCATGGAGATGATCAGAGTGCTGGAGAACCTCTCCTTATAGAGACAGGCTGCAGAAGCTGGGCTTGTTCAGCCTGGAGATGAGAAGTCTCTGTGGAGACTTCATTGCAGCCTTTTAATACTTGAAAAGTACTTATAAGAAAGATGGAAAAAGAGGGGAGACTTAGATTAGACATAACAAAGAAATTCTTTACTATGAAAGCAGTGAGGCGCGGGAACAGGCTGCCCAGAGAAGCTGTGGATGTCCAATCCCTGGAGATGCCCAAGATGAGATTGGATGAAGATGCACAGGATGATGTGTGGGCAGGTAGGGGAAGGGTGAACTGACTGGTAACCTCAGGCCAATTCGGGGCTGATTAAGAGAACAAACTGGCAAAGCAAGGCACAGGTGTTTCCTAGCAGTGACAAAGCAGTAGGACAGGTATACACGTGCAGAGCTCATTACACTGAAATTTTAAAGGGTTATAATGAGACTTGGGCAGCTCCACAGGTGTGTGGAGGTCAGAAGGCCATGGAGTTGTAGTCATAATCTCCTGAGAGCAAAGAACACTTTGCTCCTGGCAGGGGGATGATCCACCAGAGTAAACTGACTTTGCTGAATTGCCTTTTATTGCAAGCTACAATTTAGAAATTAGTGATTGCCCCACACCTGAGACACGCTAAAGGACATACACAGGCTGTTATCAGCAG